ATATATATATATATATATATATACATATATATATACATACATACAATGCAATATATATCCTGTTTTTATATATGTATATCTGTATAATTTCTATAATTCCATTATGTCTTAATGTCATAGTATTGATGACTACTATTCTAAATTGTGGAAAATATTGTAAATAAAATAATAATAAAAAAATATTAACTATAAAGAATGTAAACATTTTTATAAATATTTTCAAATGGTATCAATTGAGAAATGATGCTTACAGTATTTAACAATTTTTACATGTATCATTAGAATTTTTCCAACTTTTTTTTTTAAAGAATATTTTATTTAAAAATATATATTTTGTAGTTTTAATGAATATTTGTCTTCAGTTCTTAAAAAGTGGACTCTGTTGACTGTGAGACACTAAATTTACCACAAGAGGGCCACATTTCCTTCAAAATGTAAATAATGTAAAAATGATTTGTGGATCAAGGCTATAAAGATGTTGCTTTAAAATAATGTACATACTGTCCTGATGTCAAATAATGTCGAAAATAAACACAATAATAAGCATACTAGATATCTGTCACCTGTTTAATGTGTTGTTTTTAAAGTCTACTTTTTATTTGTTGTTTGTTTTTAAAGTTAAGCCCATTAACATACAGTGTTGGAAAGGTTACTTTGGAAATGTCAATCTGAGTCACCCTATTTAGAATTTAATAACTATTTCAATTAATGTAACGGATTACATTTTTGAATCCTTTTCTAAATGTCTAACGAATGTTTTCAGCTGTTCAGTAGTTGATCAACTCTCAGACAGGTTGTAGCCTGAAGCTTTCAGCGGAATGTGGATTGACGTTTGGCAGACAAAGAGAACCATTCAAAAGCATCAGAATAGCATCGCTTTACTAAATGGCAGGAGGTGTGCACATCAAAAACAGGCAGAGCAACAAATTACAACATATCCTAGCTTTTTGCAGAAAATATTTAGATGTAACCCCCTTTGTAATTGTTAACATTTCCATAAGTAACTGTAATTACAGTTACAGGATGCACTTTATTTTAAGGTGTCCTTGTTACACGTTACATGTACTTACTATTGTAATAACAATTAATTATGCATAATTACAAGCAAGTAACCCTAAGCCAGACCCTAACCCTAACCATATAGTAAGTACATGTAGTTAATTAATATTATTCAGTACTTAAATGTATAATTACACTGTAACAAGGACACCTTAAACTGTATATATATATATATATATATATATGAGATCATGTTGAAGTCATCTATTAATTGAATACACACAGTAAACAGATGGAAAAAAACTTTCATACTTTAGATTTTAGTTTTCAAACATGGTTTACAACTTAGAGATATTGGTAACACTTTACAATAAGCGTCCATTTGTTAATACTACATTAGTTGACATGAACTAACAATTAAAAATACTCCTAAATAATTTATTAATCTTAGTCAATGTTCATTTTAACATTTACTAATACGTCATTAAAACAAAAGTTGTCTATTAATATTATTTAATTGACCTTTAAGTTAATTTTTTAAGTTAATTTTTATTTAAAACTATTTATTATTTAATTTATATTTTTATTACTGATTATAAATTTATTTATTATTAAAGGGGTCATAAGATGTTGCTAAAAAGAACATTATTTGGTGTATTTGGTGTAATGAAATGTGTTTATGCGGTTTAAGGTTCAAAAAACACATTATTTTCCACATACTGTACATTATTGTTTCTCCTCTATGCCCCGCCTTTTTGAAACGCGTCTATTTTTACAAAGCTCATCGGTCTGAAAAAGCAAGGTGTGCTGTGATTGGCCAGCTATCCAGTGCGTTGTGATTGGCCGAATACCTCAAGCGTGTGACGAAAATGTTACGCCCCTCACCATACTGTGTTGATGCCGTGTCCTGGAGCGAAGAGACAAAAAATATACTAAACATTAAAAATATACAATACTACAGCGAGAATCAAAGTTACGCCTTCTTTCTTTGCTTGAACATTTGGGCGGCGTTATGCAAATCTTCCCACATCGTGACTAAGACATGACAAAACGAGGCGTTTTAGGGGGGCGTGGACAAGTCTTAACTTTTATAAAAAATATCTCTTTGGGTTTGAGACTTTAGTCTTTGCAACTTCAGGGATCTTATCTATGCACAATCAGCTTGTAACACTCCAAAGAGAAAGGAAAAATTGAAATCGCATCATATGACCCCTTTAATGCATTTATTATTTAATGGGCCTGAGCTAACGTGAATTAACAATGAACAGTTTATTTTTCACTATCGTTAATAAAGATGGATGAATAATGTAACAGATGTATTGCTCACTGTTAAAGCTCTGTCTAACGCTAACTAACGGGACCTTATTGTAAACCATTACCAAAATGTTTAATATTTTATGCATAAAGAAGATGAATCTTCCTTGCAGGTTGAAGGTTTTCAGACACTTTACACCCAGAAACTCTTTTGTGTGTCACAGGTGAGTCATTTAAAGTGTACAGTACTAGTAATACTGATATTTCTAGTACTGGTTAAACTGGTTTCACACTCTGTGACCTCTAAAACAATTGTTTTCACATGCTAATATTCCTTTGCACAGGCT